GGCGTCTGCAAAATTTCTGGACATCATTTTGACGACCGACGCCTATTTCTTCCGCCGACGCAGAGCGAACATTCAGCACGCCGAAGCGTATTAAAACGTATCTCAGAAACACAATGAAGCAAGATAGATTAAATTCCTTGGCTGTTTTATCCATTCACAGAGACGTTATTTCTGGGATGCATGACTTTAATCAGCGCGTTATTGAGAATTTTGCTTCCAAGAAACCGCGGCGTGTTGCATATATGTTCAAGCAGTAGAAGTCTAGCAGCATATATATCTATGAGTGAGCGACGCATGTCCTTATCTTTGCATTATCTTTTCTTTCTTCATAGTAATGTTTCAAACCTTATTTTAGGTTTTGTCTGCTTTCCCGAAGTTTCTGTTAATATGTCATTGTATTTATCTGGGTAAATAATGCCTTTCCTTTTGAAAGAGGTTTCAAAATAAACTATGTCTATATTTATTAATCCCTTGACTTGGACCGGTTTTAAAGACACTTTCTTATCGTTAAAAATTGTCGCTTTTGCCGATTGGTTGTTACCGATGGAATGGTTTTTATACTCATAAAATGATGGGAGAACTTACAGCGCTCATCCTGTCCCCGTAGATGGGGGTGACTTGGTCCCGCAGTAGCTTGCCCCGGTTGTCAAAATGACCACGCGCCGCCACTGATATATGGTATGCACCACTCAAGGGCGATAGTGTCATAAGTGGTCTATGGCTGTTCTGGCCAAAATGTGACCCTACAGGTTTTGGTGAAATATGATAAAGTTATGTATCAAATTACTCACTATTGTAAGGTTTTTTTTGAAATTCTGGATTCAGCCAAAAACGATAAAGTTTCAAAAAAAAAATAAAAAAAATTAATAAAAAGCATTTCCACAAAACCTATTATGGTTGCATTTCAGCCAGAAGATTAGAAAGGTATAAAGGTACAGTCGGATAGGGAATGATAAGTTATAAAGAGAAGCCATTTTACCATGTCATGGATTTTCCAATGTAAATTAAACTAATAAAATTATATGATATCCTTGGATGAGCAGAAGAAAAAGTGTGATTTGGTGATAGGTAGCAACAATGGAAATAAATTGAACAACATGCTACTCAAACGAAAACCATTGTCCCTACTCCCTACTATTTGTGCATTGAATTTCTATTGTATTGTACTATCTATAACCTAAATTGCTGTGCTTTTGTCTTTGTCTAATTACGCATGATAATGAAATTAGAATGGTGTGCTAGTTATTAATTCAGTCCATTGTTCTACGGACCTTTCCCCGAGCATCGACTTCCTTGTTTACACCGTGACATTGGCCAATCAGCAAGATGCAAAAAGTGACGTAACAATGCTCCCTTTTCGCATCCGCTCAGACACTTTTCTCACTCAGACAGATTTTCAAGCGTGGTCGTAAACATTATCTCGTTTTCGCGTTTTTGAACTCAATTCGTCAGTTTTCAGTTGTGTTTCGGAAACTTGAATATAAATCAGATAATTCAATGATCACTCTGTCTTCCTAGGAGTTTTAATTTAATTGCAGTAATAAAAAATCAGTGTAGAAATAGCTGTGATATACCAGGCTAAAATTCTTTACCGGTACTTTTAAAAAACAGATTGTTGTATGCGATGAATCATAATGATGGTTTGCAACACATACCTCATTTTACAGGCGCCAACTCGCAAAAGCACTCTTAAAATAGCCCCGAAAATTCTGCAATGGTAAAGTATAGGACGAATTTTTCGGGGGTCAAAGGTCGGGGAAAGGTCCATATTGAATCCGGGTGAAGTATCCTGTGGAGTTATTGAAATTGTCAGCTGGTCTATGGTGACTGAAGAGGAGGACAGTTTCCTGATAGTTCATTCAATCCAAATAATCAACAGCTCTCCCTTTCAGTGTTGAATTCACCCTAAAAAAAATAATCTCCAAACAGTAACATGTTCAAAGCAGAGAAAATTGCTAATATGACGATAATATATATTGTTTAAGTTTGGAACGAAATTCTGAGTTCGATTTTGAATTTTTGATGTCATCGGGTAGGGAATTCCAAGCTTTTGGTCCACATACTGCGATTGATTCTTGTGAAATACTTTTACTGACAAATGGAATAAAAAAGTTATCTTTATTTCTGCTGTTTGAATTTGGGTTTGCTTGGAACAGGCTGTTCAGGCTGGACGGAAGCTCTCCAATGTGCCAAGAGAACATCCTAGTACATAGTTCGAATTTAGCTAAATCCACAACTCGTAGTAGACTATGCTCTTTAAATAAGTCATCGATTTTTTCGCGATTACCTCTATGAAAAACTCTTCTAATAAAGCGATTGCAAACACTTTTTTGAGAATGAACGATTGGCGATGAACATAAGCTGAGGCACAATAACGAATATGGCTTTCTATCAGAGAGTGGTATAGAGATATTAAACAAGATGTATTTAAGTTGTTGGCTATTTTCGTAATGGCACTAAGAGACGACCTTGTTTTCGATAGAACCATATTGGTGTGTTGTTTCCAAGACAATTTATCATCGATCATTACACCCAGAAAGCGAGTCTGAACCCTAGAGGATCGGCCCGGTTATAAATGGCTAATCTGTGTCATAATTTGGAATTATGGCTGAATTAAATGTATTTTGGGGGGTCAATAGTATTTCATAGTGGTCTGCATGTGAACAAAACCAATTTCAAAACTCAAAATGTTTGAGTTTAAATTATCCATGCTTGATCCGAGTGTTCTTAATTACGGTGACGTCATCATATTTTTTTATGTATAATTTTTATTTTGCAACAAGGTCAATTTTATTTGTATAAGTATTTCAAAGCTTAAAAATGAACAAAGAATCTGTTGTTAGTTGAAAACGAAGTATTTTGAACGCGCGAGCAACGTTCTCCGGCTCATAATAAACAAACAAAGATACCAGACAGCACGCGATCAAGTGCTCTTCGATAAAACGAATATTACTTCACTTACAAATCCCACTTTCGTTTTATTTTGAAGGTGACGTAAAGCTCTTCTAAAAGAGAACTCTTTCTCTCGCATATCAATCACGTGTCGACCACAGCGTTGAAAGTGAGAAACTTTTTCTCGAAATTTTTTGAAATTTCTCTCTTCTTACCGGCGTACGGCCGTACACATTTGCGCTACGTAATTTGAGCGCGTTTTAGTGGAAAGTGACGAAAATAAGCTTTTTAAGGACACATTAATGATGTCTTTGGCATTTTTGGTTGGTGGAATCCTGAAAAAATTATAGAGGGGTGTCGAAATGACCCAGGAACACCAGCGGTCATTAGGTTTTAACTCTTTCTATATTTATTCCATTTAATTCCAAATTTTGTTGCAGTGTTGGACACTTTTGCTTCGGCGTGCTAAGTACCATATATTTAGTTTTATCGACATTAATAGTGAGTTTGTTCGCAGACAACCAAGCTTGAATATTTTCTAAGTCGTTATTTGCTTTGGTCAAAAGTTCAGGCAAGTTTTTGCCTCGAAGATATGGCGTTGAGTCATCAGCAAAAAGTATGATATTAGAGTGAAGAAGAGAATTCGGAAAGTCGTTAATAATGATTGAAAAACATAATGGAGCCAAAATAGAACCTTGTAAAGTGCCTACAGTCAAATTACAGTATGTGCTAGATGCTACATCATTGTATATTACTACTTGTTTCCTTCCTGATAAGTAGCTTTTAAACCAATTATAACTCTGACCTTCAACGCCAATATGGTGCAATTTGGCTAGTAATATGTCATGGTCAATACTATCAAATGCCTTGGAAAGGTTCAAGAACATACTGAGAGTATACTCATTCCTATCAAATCCTTCTAGAATTTTACTGACAAGCAGAAGTTGAAACTCAAATGAAATTTAATAATTTTCGTAGCAATAGAAAAAAATTTGAGCTGTTATGCCAGAGCCAATATATAATGGCTCTGGTTGTGCAGTCGAAATAGACTTTTAATTCCGTTATATGTAGTTCTATATGTACGTTGACTCCATGCAACGCTTCAACGGTCTGAGAAGTCTTGCGCCCATTCTGGCAGTTTCAGTTTCACATAGCGACGGTTTGTTTTCACGTTAGGCCGATGCAGCGATAGGCGAGATGTTCATCGCAGACTGTCAGTGTTGTTGATTTATACATTATTCAGTGTCAGATCTGGATAAATTAATACCAGTACTGACAAGCAAAGCACGATTGTTCTTTTTTTACCACATCTCCCAGTTCTGCAGTCTCAAAATCCTGGGATCTGTACAGGCCAAGTCTGTGACTGTACGTAGACGGGATGTAGACTACTAGTCTCTACAGTGCAGGTGTAAGAGTGATGATGCTGGCCTCTTTACACTGTTAGCTATGATTTTCGGTATGAATATGTCTGTATGTGAATCCTATAGCTGTATCTGTGTATGCGTCAAACTGCTGAACTGTACAGACAACATTCTTAAGTAAACCGACAGACAACATTCTGAAACTGCAACAGTCAGGCAGTGCTCAGAGATGGTGTGTTTGCTCGATAGAGGAATGCTCTGCAATTGTCATATTGGTATATGGGACAGTAGGATGCTTACTGTGTACTGTTCTACATTTTTTCCTAGGATATGGACATGTTTCAATTATTAGGCCTATGCTTCCCAAAACAGATTACTAACTAGAGTGGTGCAGCCAGTCTGCGGACGATTTCATTCAAACCACTATAAAATAAAAACAAATATTTCTAACCCGTTAATTTTTTCACCGTAGGAGCATGGGCATTTTTCTACACCCTGCAACTCGAATTAACTTTCTAAGACCAGGGGTTAGAGCTATACAAACCACCAAAGGCAAATAGGTTGTGGCCGCAAAGTGGCTAAGCCACCCTAATCCCATACCCGACATGGAATGGTAACCAGACAAGAGGTCTTTGTTCGCCATATGGTCATGCCGTCTTATCGACTTTCCTTTCCCTTGGGATAAATATGTAAATCCTATCCCATCCATGTAATACAGTAATATTACACTTTCTAACTTTATTATTATTTGATCACAACCTTAGGTTTTTGTGTATTCTGTGGAAGTATATTTTTCATATCACTTACATGACAGTGGAACCAGAACAATTCTGAATATGATAAAACTAAAATCACTTGGTGAAAAACTGAGATGGTATCTTACAAATCTTCCTGTTGTGACTACTGTGCTTTTCGTCGCAATTATTGTTTGCTACAAAATCAAATTGGCAAGACATTTTACTGATGTTATTCTTTGTGTACAACCTCATATGATAATGACAGGCCAAGGTTAGTATTCTTTTTTTTACAATTGAAACTAAGGACTTGCTTTGTAATTGCTTTTTATAAGGAAACTCTGAACTTGAACCTAAATTTTTTATAAGACACCATTCTAGTTGACTAATTTTGATAATCTAATTAAAATGTTTTTTTTTTTGCTATTTATTAATCGTCCTATAAATTTCTTGTTTGGATTCAAAGAATATTAACGGTTAATTAATTTTCGAAGTTGCTAGATTAATTCATTATGTAAGCTACACACAACTGTAAATGAATTTTTAAGACTTGAGTGACAAAGTAGTTTGCAGCACATAATTTTCACTTAAGCTATCAACATCTTTTTTTTTCAGTATCAAGGCTTATCAAATATGTCATTCACCACAAAAATGTGAAGAATCTACTTTTATCACTTGCTTCGTTGGCAATATTTGGAACAGTTGCTGAACGTCAGGCAGGAAGCATTCGTTACTTGTTCCTTATGACAATCTTCGCCATTTTGTCAGCAAGTTTAACAGTGTTTTTCTCAATTTTACTGGGATTTTCAAGTCATTATTCATCACTAATGTACAGGTAGGAAAATTTACTCTGTCCACAATGTTGCTTTAGATTCTGTTCCATTACTTTGAAGATAACTCAGGGTTGAAAGTTAAAACTATTTTCTAAATGGTGTTCGAAATATATCAATTTCCAGTAAGAAATAGATTCATGGATAAATTCTTCGAAGTAGGAGCATAATTTATTGTTATGCATGATTGGGCAAGTACACAAGAAACTATAGTATTATCATATTATACAACCGCTATTGGTAATAAGATAGGATCTTACATATTTATCCCAGGGGAGAGAAAAGCCGAAAAGACAGCCAAATCATAAGGTGAACCATAGCCTGTCCTCCCGTTACCAGTTCATGTCTGGTATGGCATGAGCTAGTCATTTGTTTCAGATACATGCACTTATAGTATATTATATAGAGGATATTCCTGGTTAGATATGGTAAAATCTAGCTTGTTATGCCCTAAACAGTTTAATTTAAATACATCTATGTTTACAGCTGTCCTGCACTTGGCCTCACACCAGCGTTGTTTGGAATTATTGTTTTGGTTTTTAAAAATTCACCTATGAAGAAGAGCGTCATTCTTTTTGTAATGCTTCCAAATGTGGCCATTCCATGGCTACTCCTCATTTCATCACAAGTAATCCTTCAAGACACAACATTTATCAGCAATCTCAGTGGATGTATTGTTGGATCATTATGTATGGATTTCATTTTATATGTTCACTAAATGTATCACATTTAAATACTGGTAATATTTAGCCATAATCTTGGATAGAAAAAATTGCCGAAGCCCGAAGCCCAGCTCTCCTGTGACTTTTTTTTATCCTGTTTTGTCTTCGTCCAATAGTTTTTTAATGAATTCCAAACAGAAAAGTAGAAATTATATTACTTTTCAAATTTCAGATGTTTGCAGTTTACGTGGCATAATCACACTCCCATCAGTTCTTGTGAAATATGTGGACAATATCTTCAAAAAAATTTTCAAATACATACCCATTGTCAAGTATATACCAGGATCATCTCCTATGTTGCCACAATATCATTTAGAAAAGTATGTATCAATTTTAAGTTGTTCAAGTTATTGCAAATGTGCTGGCGATGGGTCATCATTTTCACTCTCGGTTTCTCTTATGGAAATTTGGCAGAACCATAACAATACTATATTTGGTACTCCTGTAGTGTGTGCACCAGGTTAGGGTTAGACCCTAATTTTAGTTCTATTAAGAGTTCAAGGAGTGTCTGTGTTATCCAAGTGAATATACCCCCTACCCATAGGATTCAGACCTTTTACGCAACTTTATGTGAAGTAGGCAAACAAAATTAGTTACCTACATATTGATACACACTGCTGGAGCGCCCAATATTTTCTGATTCTGGCTTTCTATTTTATCAGGGATCAACCCGAACTAAATGGAATCCAGCATCAACCATTCAGGGTTCCTGATGATTGTCCTGTACCTATCAGTGAGGATTCTGTGCCCAAGTATAAAGTTGACAAATTACTTGAGATGGGATTTAGTAAAGAAGAGAGTGTTGTAGCTTTAACTGCTGCGAACAACAATGTAGATCAGGCAGTTTCGATTTTGACTAATAAACAAATTGGTTCTCAAGCCACTGTGTTGCAGATGAAAGGTAATTAGCAGGTGGGAATGATCGAAAGCTGATTGTTTCACCAATGTTGCTCAACCAGTCTTATCATCCAGGACCAATATGTGGTTCCATTTTCGCAAATTTTTTAACCAAGGTGCTTGGTGGTACCGAAACCTATTATACTCTGTATGTGGCTATGGATGGGTAAACACACCACCTGCATGAAAAAGCGCATTTTAGACGTAACTATTCAGAACTGGAGACCCATGCTATCCAATTTTTATATTTATAACAGAAATTATGTGTCCATTTATATAATAAGTTAAATTTTCATAATAGGTGATAGGTTAAAGACCAAGCCTGCATGTGGCACTCGATAAATATTTGAAGACGCTATTAATCATAAATTCAGAAGCCTCTGATTTATGCTGTAATGAATTTATCCACCATTGTGTACACATTGTGCTGCTCTTATGCAGTATTCCTGTTTCCCAGTTAGATTTGTATGTATGCAAGCAGTGCACTTGTCTGCTGCAAATGTTTTCATATTACAGAGATTACATGTAGTAAGTAAAGTGTGGACTTATAATTATTATGCATTGACTAGGCAGGGTAAATGATGGTTTAGTCTTGACACAAATTATCAGTAATTTGTGCACTGGCATACCTAAAAAATATATTGGAAATTCTGATCTGATGGAATCTTCTAACCACCCAGTACCTATACTGTGTGTGAAGTGAACTGAACGATACTGTGCAAAAGTGGCAAAAATATTACAATGTAGAAATTTTATCATTGCAAATATTGATCACATTGGCAGCAGGTTGTCTTGCTAGTTCATTTCACATGTCAGGTATGTCGAACCACTGACCCATATTAATCCCAGGAAGAGGAAAGCCGATAAGACTGCTTAATTATATGCCAAACCGCGGCTTCTCGTCCGGTTACCTTTCCATGTTGGGTATGGGTAACATACTGCATATCACGAAAGTCATCTTTGAGGCGATTAAATTAAGGGTTAATAATGGATAGAATCCGCGATAAAAAGAGTAATATTGTCATTACCGCGCCCCGGATTTGTATTCTTGTGGCAACAAAAAATGTTGAAATTCGCCTATTTGCCAGTTAAAACTATATCATGCACTCTAAAAATAGAACAAAGGGAAGAAGATACGTTACAGATAGAGAAAAGTTTTCTTTACGGTGTTTTACGTGCTATAAATTTCGCGTGCCTGGAGCACACATTTTGCTTTGTTTGCGTTAGCAACTTCGCACGGAATTTGTCTTTATATCCATAGTTTCAGATATTTTATTTAGTCATGCATGAAACATTGTCATCAAATAAAAAAAGAAATCTCAAAGAGACAATGCTCCGCAATAGACGAGGAGTCGCGAGAGACCAACAATCAGCGAGACCTATATGTTGAATTACAGCAGCAGATAGGGTGAAAAAAATGGGTTTAAACATACAATGCTGAATAACATAGAAGCAACAACGATATATTATAAATAAAATACGGAAATATGAAAAGCTCTAGCAGACCACATATTCACGCTTCAGTGGTTCGTCTGCGATTCAAATCCGTGCTATCGGTCTAGACCAGTGATTCTCAAACTAGGGTTTGAGAGCCGCATGCGGCTCTCAACAACCTTTACTGCGGCTCTTGTTAATGCTTTAAAAATAAATTAAACTTTCAAAGAAAATTTAGTCGTTTTTTATTGAAAACTAATCATTGACTTGAAATTAAAATGCAGAAGTCTATTGGTTAGTCGAATGGATTCCCCCATGTTTATTTGCGTAGCGTTGACTAATCTACAAGATGCAATAGTGACGCAACAGTAAGCGTTTTAAATAAATAAATAGCGATTAAATAAATTGGCAATAAAGGCATTTCCCGACCGTTGTGCCTAATAGAGGGTCAGACGCTAATTATAACTAATTCCTTCAAGTTTTGAAAACAACACGCTGATGGTTATTATAGCTAAAATACTTGCTGATTAATGCTAAATTTTTTCTACGGAATTTGCAAATAAAGCACTTCACTTAATAATTTTGATTATGTCATGCCTTATGGCTTAATTATTACTGCCAAATGCTTCAAAATTTAACAATCGTAATCATTTTCGATGATAATAGACGCAACAATTCATGAACGAGTCAGTGTGCATTGTAACAACGGAATTCACAATTGATTTCACATTCTACTCTTGGCTCAACGGCCATGCATGGTCGAGTAAAATGTTTACATATTCGAAACATTACTTGGCCAAGGATGGAAGGGATCACTTAAGAGCTAATACAAAGTGCTTTAAAGGGAGTAGGACATGACATTTCTTATCTGGTTACAACTTAAATGAGTGTTTTTCATACAAGTAACCCATACTAGCTTTTGAAAAAACTTTTGGTCATTTTTGAATCCATTCATATAACGCGAATTTTCTAACGACCTAAAATCGCCTTTTTCACAATGAAACGCGGAAAAGTCATTTTAACATTTAATTTTAATAAACTTTATGTTCGGTAATGCAAGAAATGGCAAATGACATTTCACCAAGCATGCGGAGTTTGAAATCTGGGAAATTTACTTTAAATACCTAATCTGGTTTGACGTTTCTAAATTTACGGAACGGTCGGTACGTTTTTTTTGCAAAATATGGAATTGAAACGAAACGTTAAGTGCAAAGATAAGTATATAACGCTAAGACAACTACTTTTCAAATTGTCTTTCTTTTTCTGATAGCAGGCGCCGTTGGGAAATCTCGCGCTATTAAGTTTTGTTGCTATTTTAACTTGCGCTGTTTGTGTGCGGCTCTCCATAACTTTGAGGCTTGAAATGCGGCTCTGGGACTAAAAAAGTTTGAGAACCACTGGTCTAGACTCTAGATCTAGAACATCAGACCTATTTAGGAGGTCTGAAAAACCACTGTGAAGCTAGTAGCAAACCTTCTTCGAATTGTGCGCAGCGGTGCTTTAAGTCTCGTTTTTGTGCTCATTGAAGAGTGATATTACAGTTTTGTGCTTATTGAAGGGTGATGGAGTAAAACGTAGGCGATTTCTAAATTCCACACAGCAGAATTGCTCTCGATTATAGAATTGCTCTCGATTATAGATATGGAAGAAACATCAAGATAAACGGTGAATTTAAGTACAGTTTGGAAACTGAATCGATAGCACAACAGCAGTTTGTTTTACACTAATGTTAGGGATGTCCCTATCGTTTCCGTTGTCGTATCGTTTTCGTCTAGAGCTGTATTCGAATAGGTTTTTCCAATTTCGGTTAATGGTAATTTATCGTGTGCAAAACTTGACGTCGTCGGGCGAACTTTTTCTGTACGTCGATAAGTGGATATGCTGAATCGTCCGACGCATCAGCTATGCTGGATACGAGTAACCCTCTCCGAGACCAACAATCGCCGCGAAAATGCACAATTGACGATTTTCACAGCGCTAATGTTGTTATTAATATAGCCGATTATTCTATCGAAGGAGGTACGGCAGTTGTTTTCTTTTTGATCTCTGGTAAGTGAGTTGCTTTTTTAAACTAATAAAAATTCAGCAAGATAGGGCAAGTTTAATTTAAACATCTTCCGCATCTATTGTGTCGCTGCTGAACACAAATTTGAAGTACCGGTACCGGTGGGATCCCGGCATATTGGCATGATAGGTTGTTGTTTTGAAACAGAGAATTAAATCTTGATGTCTAAAGATTTATTGGTATAAACTGTGCGCAGTACGACTTCAGTTTGCATTGAGAATTCTTTTGGAATTGCACTATACAGCCATACCGCATCCTAGCTGGTACCGGTACCCTTACTGTACATACCGATACCAGCATAAATACAAAGCTTCAGTGTCGGTAAAGTTGCAGTAGTAGGACGATATTAAATAATGAAAGTGCTTCTGTTTACATATGATGAGCCCACTTCACACAAGTGTTTGGTTGATAAAATGTAATTGTTTTAATTTGGTTGCCAGTCTATCAGTAGACTACTGGTAACTGTAGGACTACTGTGATTTTTGAATGGATCGTGGGGCGTAAGGTGCAGTAGTCTGCAGCGTTGAACGCTGGATGGTCGGCCAAAATTATCTAAATCGTCTATCTTTTATGCCCTCAATAAATTTGTCGTTTTGTTCTTAGGTTATGGGCAAATTTCAACGGGAAAGCGACCCCTCCCTCATCATATTCTGCAAATAACTTAAAAGAATTTCAAGAACGTGCATTCAATTTTGATTCTTTAATTAACATTTGTATTGAATTAATTGAAAATAAAATATATGCAGTGTTTGCAAATCATGACTTATTTAATTTAATCCGGCAACTCCAAAACTGTTTTCAGCTTGTTGGTTTGGACATGTAATCGAGACCACTAAGTAGTCTCCGAGACCACGTTGACCGAACCGTTTCGCTGGACTGGTTTTGAGGGACATGTAATCAGGCTGTGACCCACTGCGTTTTTCTGGTGACCCGCCAAGGCACGAATGAAATACGAATACATTACTATATAAGTGATAAAACCGGCTCTGACATTTGTATTGAATTAATTGAAAATAAAATATATGCAGTGTTTGCAAATCATGACTTATTTGATTTAATCCGGCAACTCCAAATCTGTTTTCAGCTTGTTGGTTTGGACATGTAATCGAGGCCACTAAGTAGTCTCGGAGACCACGTTGACCGAACCGTTTCGCTGGACTGGTTTTGATGGACATGTAATCAGGCTGTGACCCCCTGCGTTTTTCTGGTGACCCACCAAGGCACGAATGAAATACGAATACATTACTATATAAGTGATAAAACCGGCTCTAATTTAATTTAACTGGTATAATGTACCGTCAGTTGGGAAGAGGGGCCTCCTAACGCTCAAATTTTAATTTCCCGGTCGGTAGGGTAATTTTCAAAACTTCCAATCTTGGACGCGCGTGTTCACCCCTGTATACTGTTATGCACCTATTGACTGTGACATCGTTTATGACAAAACAATACAAATGATCTGTTCATTTCTCCCAACGTCTTGTTGTTGTTATAGCGTTCCCCTTCGAAAAAACATGAACCAAAAGGCACATCAGATTGGTATTGGGGGTATACGAGAACTAAATGCTACTGTGCATTCATTAGTTTCTCGCCTGCAATGCCGTTGGGAATACAAAATCTATTAGACTTAAAATAAAAACCTAAAATAACAAAGGGGCAGTGTGAAAGTGCCTAAATGTGGTTGAAAGCCGACCGAAAAGTGAAACTCTATCAGAGTGGAATTCCATCCAAACTCTTTAACGGGGTAGAATAATCTGCCGCATCATTCGAAACGCTTTGGGTAATTCATACTCGTGTTTTTGTACACGAAACTACACAACACCAACTGAAGCTTAGGTATAAGATCTGCAAGATAATATGCAGCAGCAAGTGAGTTTCTCATAGATTCAAACATTGCACAAACATCTGTGACCCACACTCTTCCCTTCCGTGATATAAATATAATTTTTGACATATCCATTGAAAAAGGTTTGCCATCCCCGATTTATAGGATACCGCTTCCGCTTGACGGGCGCAATAGCGCATCTAGCGAAAACGATATATATATAAACGATATATATACCTCAATGAACACAACACAAGCCGAAAATAATGCTGACTAACATCAAAGACAGCATCAAAGACGTTTTGGTTATTCCTATGCATGTAAAAGTGTGTTTTGCGTATGTACTTCAATGCATCAAGTACCAGATATCAACTTCGTCCTGATTACAACATTGCATGTGTAAAATGCGCAATACAAAGATCTTAAAATTTGTGGAATAATGCAGCAGCACTTTTTTCATTGATTGTCTATGACCCACTGTCTTCTTTTCCATAATAAAAATGAAATTGTTGTCCCACTAATTGAAAGAGGTTCGCCACTCTTGCTCTATATATTGCGAACACGATGCCCCTTTCAATGCTTTATTTACTGGGTCAGCGTTTTCTATTGCACGCAAATCATCTAGCATTTCGGTCATGTATTTTATGCCATAGTCAACTCCTATAATCTTAGATCGACCGCCGGCTTTTATCATTGGCGTAGTGGCATCATATGTCTTACTGACGCAACTTTCAATTCCATTTATTGCATCATCGGGGGATCTTGATTGAGCCTTGTATATATTACTTGCTATCCAAAGCAATATTATAGCGCGAATGTAAGCGGAATTTGAAATCAAATCGACTGCGAAGATTTTGATGTCCTTAACGTCCACTGATGATGTCACGATTATTCTATTGACGTCATTTATGATCTTTTCGCCTTTCATTTCTCTCTCAAGCTGTAGATAACATTCGACCATCATGAGTGCCGTGTCTAGTTCTGTACATTTCTGCATTTGAGCAAGTTCCTCAAGTAGAGTGGCTGCTTTATCAAACTTGGTTTGTCCAATCAAAGCTGTTGCTCTGCCTGAAAAAAAAGTTCGGCGTCACTAAGATTAATTTAAGATTTGTCTCCCCGTATCAAGGTATGCCTGAACTGTCGAATGCTTGATGAATATATTTACCAGCGTGGTAGAGTGCAATTAGACAAATATCAGCAAATGTTACTAATGGATTATCAATTGCACGATCGGCTTAGTGTTGACATCCGATGCAAGTTAATAACTTCTACTTAAGGATAGAATAGGATTTGCATATTTATCCAGGGGGAGAGACAAGTCGATAAGACGACTTAACCATATGATGAACCACAGCCGCTCGTCCGCTTACCATTCCATGTCGGGTATGGGATTGGGTAATTATTGGAAGCATGGACTTGATGGTGGAGGAAGCCGTAACGGACCAGCAGTTACGTGAACCACCCTATACGACGACGCGGATGCCAGCAATCCCCTCGCACATAACCATCCCAGCATGGGATTCGAACCTGCGAACCCACGCAGAGTAATCAGAGGTGCAGTGGCGAGCGTATTCCTAACGATTAGCTCGATGAGCTACACCTTTAAGACCTGCTTACATGCAGGGGCCAACTTATCCAGGAAATATGTAGTCAGTGCTAAAATAGAAAAAATCGAGACTTTTTCGGGACAGTTAGGCCTGTTCTTTATATGCTCTACCACTACCTACTTCGCAGCATTGAAATCTTCAGACTGTTATTCCCACCTTCCGCAGCGTTGGAAGATAATAGTGGTTTTTGTTGAGTCAGTTTGTCTCTTGCAGATTCTCTTTGAAAATCTTGGAAAAAGACAAGATGATGACTGCAGATCAGTGCTCGTTCAGATATCAACTCTTTTACTTTTGAGTGAGTGCGCATAACCTTGCTTTGAGTACATTTTCTTATGGAATAAAAGACAAATCCGAGCTCCACGTCCGAATTCTCAATCTCCAATATTAAGCGATGACCACGAAACCTCACCAAAACATTATTGCAACCGCTTTACTGAAAAATCGATAATTTTGAGCTCGTTTGCTTATAGAATTGGTGTATATGCATGCATAAATAATTCATCTTCCATTATGACCCATTAATCAATATTCTATAAATCTCAGCAACTTGCAACAAAAAACAGGTCTAACCTTTCTTTTTGATTGCACCGATTTGAGAAGCCTCGTTATTTCTTGATGACAGATTTAAGGCATCGACACCTTCAGCAATATTTTGTGGTGGAACGTTGTCAGCTGCTAGTTGTTGTCCGACATTCTGAACACCCGGTTGCTGAGCTGCCTGGTCTTCTTCGACATTCGGAGCATTCTGTTGTTCTTCTGCCTGTAGAATATTTATCTGGCCAATCTCCTCTGCAACATTCTCAAACGTTGTCGTCCTTTCTCTGTACGAAACATAAATGAGGCATTACCTGGCCACATTTAACCTTTTGTAATCCACAAGTATGAAACTTAGGCTTTAAATCGTTTACCAAACTAATAAACTATGCACTATCTAAACTATCACAACTATCTCTAGTGGATCTACGTTTATGAATGTGTCTTACTCAATCGGGCATCACGATATATACTATTGAAAGACATGATTGTAACAGTTTTACAGACATCGGGATTTAAATATTATGACAATGAAACACATTCCATTGTGTGAATGAAATCTCAAATGAGGAAATTAAAAGTTATAAAAAACAAATACAGTTTATAATATTAAATTCTAAGTCGAGACGAGAGAAATAATGCAAAAGCGACACCGCCTATCAAACCGTATTTACCGCCTGTATCATCCATTCATTTGCATTTTTGCCTCACATTTGCAAGCTTAGATTCTCAATTACGTAACAACTTACTGTACAATTTCCCTTTGGTTCTGCACGTTATAAACGTGAAAATTATATATATTCTGTTGATGCTGTTGGTTTAGCTGTCCACCTTCAGCCATGTAGTTTGCTCTCAGCAACAGCTTTGTAAATCCTAGGTGCGAATGAAACAGTTCGACTTTAGTAATGCTGGCGGAGACCACAGACTATGAATTATTGATATGCTAGGACTAGGGTTGCCAACTATGAAAAGTTTCAATGAAGGACATAAACGAGAATATCGGTCAGAGACCGAAGACTTATCGATCGAAAGTTAGGGGATCCCTCAAAACAGAAACTGCGGTTTCGATTCGAAAAATTCTGCAAACCCGAACTGGATTGTTTTGATTAGTTTTCAGCCAATATCAGAAATGTAGGAAACAATAGCCAACTCCCCATGTCGTCGAAATACTACTCGAGGAAATACTTTTATGAAGAATTCTGCAAATCCGAACTGGATTGTTTCGATTAGTTTCCAGCCAATAGCCTATTTCTGTATTTACCAATCCTATAGTTTGTGTTAAATACAACGGCGCTAACCCAGGTTGCGACGGCTATTCAAACACAGCCTAGCGATATTTTTTTGAGGAATTCTGCAACCCCGAACCTGATTTAGGGATATGGACATTGCTTAAACTTTAAGGAGTAATTATAAGTAACGAGATACGATCTCGCGGCGTGTATCCTTCGCTCTGACTCAATAGTGTGGAAAATTTCTCGAAGGAAACTTGCGCATCGCGACGACGTCAAAGTTACAAGAGAGATATGGACAAGGCTCAAAGATTAATCACGAGATACGATCTAGCGGTGTGTATCCTTCGCTCTGACTCACTAGCGTGAAAACTTGCGCATCTGATACGCACACACACATTCAGCGCGTCTCGAAAATCTCTCGATTTGTGAAAATCCAGATCTCTTCATCACTAATTAATTAATAACTCGCTAATTATACGACATAATTCATCCAAAATCAATAGGCTTCTGGTCCGAGATATGATGAATGCACATGCAAAATTTGGAGCAGATTCAACCACGCCTTCGTGAGATATCGCGTGCATCTAACAGACAGACATACATACATACAGACATACATACAGACAAATACCTATCAATATACTTACCGATCTTAAGATCGATAAGTAATTACCGTCATCATATATTTTGAAACTTGCAGGGAAGAACAATATAAAGCAATGAAATAAAAATTATATGCAAGCTATAAAGATATATTAAACAAATCTTCATGTGTTTTTCATTTAATATTTATTTAACATTGATTCAAACAAGCTCTAATTTTGCAGTTGCATAAGTTTATAATTCTTAATGTTATATTTCGACTCTTTGCTGACTTCAGCAATTATGGATCAGCTATAATTTTTCCAAAAATTTCACGACACGTGTCTTTCAAGTTAAAGTATATTAAAAGCTCACTTTTCATTAGTTGTATGGAGCATCTGCTCCTTTCAATGCGACATTCAAATGATATTACACTAAAAATGGGTTCACAATCTGCTGAGGTTCCGGGAATATAGAGCACAAATGAAACTATTTTGAAATCATTAACAAACATTTTAAGATTAAAACTTTTCAAGATAAAGTGCCATTTACTGCTTGTTGTTTTGCATTCTGTAAACAGTTAATTCCTTTAATCGTGCCAAATTTTTTTTTGAATGAGTGCAACTTCATCAAATAGGTCATTCATATTTAAATTAAGTTTGTCTTTTAGCTCCAAATGCTCTACAATTTTCACAAGTGTCTGATATTTTGGAAAAAGAATTTCCAAATGTTGAATTTTCATCAAAGTCAAAATTTTTTTCCAAATACGTTATTGCAGAGCTGAGAAATAATCTAAAATCTTTAGTTGCCTCTTGAGCTTCAGCAGCACTCACATTTGCAAGAAGTTGGTGAACATTATACTCAACAAATTCTTTATCACATCGAGATTTTAGTAAAAAAAATAAAAACATCTGCTGTTGAAGTTTCATTTATTTTCAGTTCTTGAACAGCTAATTTGAATATCTCCATTACATGTTGTGAGAATATTAAATACATTTCAAGAAGCCGAGGAACTTCTGTTGACTCATTATCAATCATAAGAAGTTCAAGTAATTGTTTGGAACATTCAGATGGTTCGCTCAAGAAATAAGAAGCTTTCGAGGAAAGTAAGATTCTTTCGATGCGTGGGTGCAGAGATAGCCACCTAGTAGCCTAGGTACACGACGCAGAATTCCATGAAATTCCGTCTCTACAAATATATGAAATGCATTAAGAGTTTCTCTCTTTGCTGACATTGAGAAATTTTCAGGACAATATTTTTCATTGTCCACATTCAAATTTCCTAAAGCAAATTTCAATGTATTGTGTACAATGTGTGCACTGCAGTTAGCCCTAATAATACCATCATTTAGTGTGCGAACATTAGTATAATTCTCCAAATTCGCAATTTGCGTTATCTGCGCCTAAACAAGAAACTCTTTTCCAGTCAAGTTGTAAATTGTTCATAGTATTTTTCAAACAAGTAAACATTCCATCTGCATTCTCGAAGAAATCAATAATATAAGTAACTGTGTCATGTTCCAAGCTAGAATACTGAACACAGACTGGAAACATTTTCATGTTTTTGTGATTTGAAGCATCGGTTTGAATGCCAAAAAATAACGGAGAATCATGTTGTTTCAAATCGTCCATTATCACTGCTGATGCCTTTTCACCTAGCACATTTTTGAAGATTGCCTCGCATTTGGTTCGACCACAAGATACTTTGGTAGCAACTTTTGAATCCTTGTTAATTTTTGAATTCAATTTCAATCCACAATCCAGCGAGTTACATGGATGACTATGTTTAATTGCGTGATATATTTGAGCTATTTCTGAAGCAACCACAATATCCTCTTCTTCTGAATTTTTTTCACCAAAAATGTATCCATTACAGAAGATGAAGCAAAATCCATGGTTCTCATTTTGTGACAGGCTGATTTTGCTTGTTGTGCTACTGCTAAAGCACCCATGTATCCAATAGCAAAAACACTTTCAAAAGTGATACAGTTTGCCTTTTGTGGATTACTAGTTTCTCTCTATTTTTTCCATTCTTTATTAAATGAACACATAGGCCTACGCTTCTTTATCTTCATTGGGGGTTCCGTGTATTTCATTAAAAAATTAATATCGATGTACTCCTACATCCCAACACCTATAGGAAGCTGTCGATAACATTATGTCTAGCCTAGCACCACACAGTTTATAAATAAATGAATAAATAAATAATACCTCTTTGGGTATCACACCTAGTACAACTTCAAAATCTACAATACAAATATACAACGGTATAAACATCTTTACCACCTGTATAGAAACAATGTATCACAGTATCACAAAAAATTACTACAATTAAGACTAGACAAATTATGACTAGTGGAAAGGACATTAGACAATTACCCAAATAGTATTGCTAACCCATTTAGTACACAAATGTCGAAAACTAGACTATCTAATTCTCTCCAATATCATATTTGACAATTCCCAGTATTGTCCAAGTGTCCTTGGATTGGACACCTGGGAATCTCTGTATTTATTCAAATTGTGTTTGAAAATATTCACAGATGCACTTGACCTCACATTTAATGGTAAGCTGTTTCAGTATTTTACGACCCTGTTCCCAAAAAAAATCAACTTTGAACGCTGATTTTGCCTTATGACAAGGTTACCAGTTCTAGGAGACTTGTTGAAAAATTGTTGCCCATATGTACAAAAACCATTTAGTATTTTGAAGGCTTCTATTAAGTCACCTCTCATTCTTCTTTCTAACAATGTTGTCAGTCCCAAAACCTTCAAACGGTTCTCATAACTCTGTCCTCTACAGCAGTTTATTTGTGCTGTAAACTTCCTCTGAACTGCTTCTAGATTCATTATATCGCCCCAGTTCCCATGCTTTGGTAATGGCGCCCAAAATTGTGTACACTGTACAGTATTCAAAGTTTGGTCTCACTAAAGTCTTGTACACACGCAACATCACATCCTTATCCCTACTTATTATACTGCGTAATACCCATGCTATTTATCCTTTTGCATGTACAACAATTGTATTTAAGTGAGTGGAAAACTTCAAATTCGTATTGATAGTAACTCCTAGGTCACATTCACTGTTCTCGCCGGTTAGGACTCGATCCAAAAAGGGATAGTCATTTCCAGGGTTCGATTTCCCTAAATGCAGAATCTTACACTTCTGCAGATTGAAAGAAAGTTTCCAATCTTCCTGCCAAGATTCCAATGCTTTTAAATCTTGCAAGATATCATGACTATTGTTAGGGTTTGTAATTAGTTTCAGATCATCAGCAAAACGTTCTGCACGTGACACAAGATCTCCTGGTAAATCATTCACATAAATCAGGGGTCCTAAAACCGACCCCTGTGGCACACCTGATGTTACTGCTTTTGACTCCGAAAAGAAATTGCCCACCTTTATTTTCATTGTTCTACCTGTGAGAAAATCTCGGACTATCTCTATTGTATCATTGTCCAGTCCATAACTTTCCATTTTAACAAGAAGTCAATAGTGTGAGACCTGATCAAATGCTTTTTCAAAATCGAAAACATCGGTACAGTTTGTCTCATCGAGAATCTCCAGTATACTGTCCATGCTCTCAAGTAGATTTGAAAGGCAGGATTTTCTACTTACAAATCCATGGGTTATTTTGTATTCTCTCAGTATATTTTCATATACTTTACACAGCACACAAGTAAGTGATACCGGTCGATAGTTCCCAGCTACCTGTTTTGAGCCCTTTTTATGCAGTGGGATGACAATCGCATTCTTCCAAATTTGGGGGATTCGTCTTGCCTTTATACATTGATTAAATAGAACAGTGACAGCTTCAATGCAACCAACATTTTTTCCAAGGAGTTTCCACAATTTGGGAGAGATATTGTCAGGTCCAAAAGCTTTATTGGACACGTTTAGTGGCCATAACGATCGTTTCAAAATTTTGTTGTTATTGTTATTTGTCTCCGGCTCCATTTTAAAAAAATCGCTTTTCTCTTCGAATACTGGACCAATTGCTTTGATATTTCATGTGGTTAAAGATAAAATTTTTCTCCAGAAGGCTATTACTTTTTTTTTCGCTATGACGTCATCAATATTATTGCCACTGGGT